ATAAGGGCTCGCTCCTCAATACATAAATGATGGGCTAGGAGTGATGCTCGCGGTGAATCGGTTGCTCAAGAGGCGGCGACGCTCTCTAATGATGGTGAAGGAGTCCTTTTTATAGAAGAAGGGCTCGCTCCTCAATACATAAGTGATGGGTTAAGAGTGATGCTCATGGCGAGGCGGTTGTTCAGCTGGCGGCGATGCTCTCTAATGAAGGTGAGGGAGTCCCTTTTATAAAATAAGGGTTCGCTCCTCAGTACATAAATAATGGGCTAAGTCCCCCCAAGTATTTTTTATGAGGCCCAGTTGAGGCCCAATATATGGTACATAATGTATTCCCCCAAGTCTTCGGTCAATAGAGTCTATTGGCTGGAGACTTCAATTTGAATCCATGTATGGGCCGAAGTGGCAGTTGTTTGGAGGCGGTATTTGTATACCTTATGCTGAAGCTTTGTAGGTGAAACTTTGTAGGTGAAGCTTTTGCAAGTGAAGCTTTTGAAGCTAAAGCTCTGTAAATGAAGCTTTTGAAATTGGAACTCTCGAAGCTGGAACTCTGTAAATGAAGCTTTTGAAGCTAGAGCTCTGTAGATGAAGCTTTTGAAGCTAAAGCTCTGTAGATGAAACTTTTGAAGCTAGAGCTCTGTAAATGAAGCTTTTGGAGCTGATTGACATGAGTGATGGTCATGAATGTTTATGTTGATTGACATGAGTGATGCTCATGGATGTTGACATGAGTGATGCTCATGAATGTTGACATGAATGATGTTCATGAATGTTGATATGAATGATGTTCATGAATGTTTATGTATGATTGACATGAGTAATACTCATGTATAATTTTTGAGTACTAGACGTACTTTTGATCACCTGATTGGTGATAATAACGGCAGGCTGCCGAATAATTTTTAGAGTACTGGGCGTACTTTTGATCACCTGGTTGGCGATAATAGTGGCGGGGTGCCGAATAATTTTTTGTAGTACTGGGCGTACTTTTGGTCACCTGGTTGGTGCTATTTTGGGCTTATGGGCCTTCGCCCTCAACACAACATTCCAGCCCATTTATTTTGGGCTTGATGTTTTTTGTTTTTTGTTTTTTTTACCCTCTGATGGGGTTTATACAGATGTCTTCGAAAGATAAGAAAAATAAATTACATCATTCAAAACTACTGCTACAGAAGGTGGGTATGGCAGATGGTTGGATAATGGGATAGTATCTGAACAATTGAAGGTTAGGTAGTGGTATGGCAGATGGCCGCAGAAGCTTTTGCTTTTACTTTTTCTTTTCCTTTCTGCTTTTCCTTTTCTCCCCGTTCATTCTCTGCCCACCCATGTTGCTTTGTAAGGTATCTTTTGCTTGCAAACCACTTGCTTTTCTTGGACAACCTGGTCGTGCTCATCACTCATCCTTTTTCTTTTTCATTTTCTTTTTTCCTTTTGCTTTCCACAGCGTCTTTGTCTCTGTCTGTCTGTGCGCTGCTAGTTTTCAGAGTAGGTTCATCCTGCTGCTTATCCATGTTACTGTTCTCACTAGAAATGTGAACACTTGCACCTTGCTTGAATCGGACTCCAGTAGCTTTCCGGCTAAAGTTTGACGGCAGCGTCGGCATGAATATCAAACCTGGCGGTTGTGGTCTACTTAATCTGATCACGGTGATCATCTTATGCATCTTCAAATTTGCGCTGCTTTGCTATTTATACACAGAGGTCGAAACTTGTGTTGTTTTATGCACTCATGCAGTGTAAAAATCTTGGAAGTCACCAGATTTCTCCAACTCTTTCTTCTTTACCTTCCTCAGATACAACTCGAACCAGATCCCGTCGCTAGAGACAGGTATGGGACTTTGAGTAACACTTCTGGTGAGGTGGTTGTCAGTGTGCTCTACTGAAGAGCACGTCCGAATGAGAATGATAGAGACCACGACTTATTTCCCTTGAGTTGGTTCATGGCGTTGAGGTTGAGGGTAGCCTCCTCCTTACTCTGTCCACCAGACAAGAACACAACAGCAGAGACAGCTGCATGGGTAGTGCGCAACAAGGCACGAACTATGTACTCAGCAATCACTTCTGGTGAAGCCTTCTTAGCATTAGATCTTGGGGTAACCATGTTGGGTTTCAAGAGAGTTCCTTCAAGCAGGACATGGTGGTCGTTAAGGCGTTAAAAGTCTAAGCTTGGCTACAGTAGATTGTTTCACGGCAAGCGACGGCGAGCCGTCGACGCAGATCTTGACCGATGGCTGAAGATCCTCCGACGAAATGCTTTCGATCTTCGAGTCCATTATCTCTAAAGCAGACATGGCAGCAAAAAGATTGAAATTATCTCCGTTAATGAGCATACCATCTTGAAGATCTTTACAGGAGGCGTCGAGGAGGGGCGAGACGTCAGCCTAGATGGTTTGATAGCTGGAAAGAATGAGGGTGTCGCGGTCGGGTAATGAGAGGTTCACGATAACTTCTTCTGCACTAATCGTCCCGGCCATCGTTGCAGATGCTTTTTTTTTATCCACTACTGCGTTGGAATGTCAGTCCTTTTGGTTTAATTTGTTAGTTGTTGCTGCCCATTTTGCCTGCCTTGAGAAAGTGAAACGAGGAAGGAAGACGGTGAGCGTGGACTGGTTCCTTGGGTTTTTCTAGGAAAGCTTTGGGTTGTTGGATTTTTGCAGATTTTGTAGATTCACGGTGGAGGTGAAAAATGAAAGAGAACTGACATAACTTTTCGTGTCGATTCCTAAAGACGGCGCCAAATGTTGATGCACAAAACCGGAGGGGTCTTGGAACAATGTAAATCCGACCGTGAATCTGCAAGAAAGTAAATGACACAAGATGTATCGTGGTTCACCCCACTGTTCGGGCTACGTCCACATTGATATTGTATTTCTCTGAGAGGATTATGAGGGAGAGAGAGCTTTTCTGTGAGGATGAGAGCTCTGAGAGGGTGAGGGTGTGGCCTAAGAATTGGCCTACCCCAATGAGGAGGGTGATGGGTCATTTTATAAAATAAGGGCTCATCACTTATTACATATTTGCCCCTTCATTTATTACATAATTACATTTGAGTCCCCCGAGTATTTATACGAGGTCTAAATACGGATGCCCTAATTATGGTACAAACATGCGAAAAAGAAGACTCAAAGCTTATAATTGATGCAATTGAAGGGAGGTCTTGAGTTTTTTGGAGAATCAGAAGTATTATCGCGGATGTTAGAAGTCTAATGGCCTTTTTCAAAACATTTCTTGGAATCAAATTTTTAAAGAGACAAATTTTTTTGCAGATAGATTACTAGTGTAGAGATCAGTAGCTTAAATACTCTTGATTGGGTTGCACTCTACCTTTGTGTGTGACCGTACATTTCAATTGTACTAAAATTGATTTTACATGTTCCGACAAAAAAAAAAAAAAAGGGAAAATATAAAAAACTACCTCAACTATTGATGTCACGACACTTTCATACCTTATCTTTTAAAATTGATAATGTCATATCATCTTTAGAATTCGGTCCAATGTTATACCCTCCGTTACTTGGCCGTTTATTTTTCAGTTAAATGTTGATGTGGCTTGATCCAGATCCCACTTTCTATTAAAAAATTAAAAAATATTATTAAAAACTAAAAAAAAATCATTTAATAAATTTTAAATATTAAAATAAAATAAAAAAAAGTTAAAAAATAAAAAATAAAAAATTCTTTTCGTTCCCTTTCCCCATGGTTTCTCTCTTCTCTCCCATCTTCTTCTTCTTCCTCCTTCTGTTTCCCCCCTTGTTTATCTCTCTTCTCTCCCATCTTCTTCTTCTTCTTCCTCCTTCTTTTGCAGATTTGGGCTTCTTTTTTTTTCTTCTCTCCTCCTCCTCCCCCCTCCTCCCCTGTCCTCCTCTTTCTTCTTCTTCTTTCATTGCAGATTCGGTTTCTTTTTTTTTTTCTTTTTTCTTCTTCTTCCTCCTTTTTTTCTGGGTTGCAGGAATGGGACTGGAAAGAAGAAGAATTCTTCGTTGCAGATTGGTTTCGTTTTTTTTTTTTTTCTCTTCTTCTTCTTCTTCTTCTTTCTTCGTTGCAGATTCGGTTTCGTTTTTTTTTTTTCTTTTTCTTCTTCTTCCTTTTTTTCTGGGTTGCAGGAAGGGGGCTGGAAAGGAGAAGAATATCTTTTTCTTCTTCTTCTTTCTTCGTTGCAGATTCGGTTTCGGTTTTTTTTTTTTTTTCTTCTTCATCTTCTTCTTCCTCCTTTTTTTTCTGGGTTGCAGGAAGGGGACTGGAGAGGAGAAGAAGATGAAGATGGGGGATCTTCTTCTTCTTCTTTCTTCGTTGTAGATTCGGTTTCGGTATTCTTTTTTTTTTGTTTTTTTTTCTTCTTCTTCTTCTTCCTCATTTTTTTTGGGTTGCAGGAAGGAAACTGGAAGGGAGAAGAAGATGAAGATGGGGAGAAGAGAGAGAGGGGGGGAGGGAACGAACATAAGTTTTTTTTTTTTTAACTTTTTTTTTTATTATTTTAATATTTAGAAATTATTAAATGATTTTTTTAGTTTTTAATAATATTTTTTAATTTTTTAATAGAAAGTGGGATTTGGATCAAGCCACGTCAGCATTTAACTGAAAAATAAACGACTAAGTAACGGAAGGTATAACATTGGACCAAATTCTAAAGATGAGGTATGACATTGTCAATTTTAAAAGATAAGGTATGAAAGTGTCGTGACACCAATAATTGAGGTAGTTTTTTGCACTTTACCCAAAAAAAAAACTGATTTTACATGTGGTTTTATCCTCTATGAGTTTCTTTTTCTTATCAAAATAAAAACAAAAGGTAAAAATCAAAAAATTGTTTAAACACCACTGTAGACATCGAAATCACGAATGTTAGAAAAACCTAGACGGTGATAGTACATCATCAAATTGGTCCACAAAAAGCAAAGTTGTAAAACCCCAGCAATATATATTAGTTTTCTGAAGCTTGAAAAGGTTTGTTTGGGTTAAAGTGGGTGTGTGTAAAAAAAAAAAAAAAATTGGAGAACACGTGTGTGTAAAAGGAATGGAGAGCATGTGTTTGTAAGATGATTCCTTCATCTTTTGGTTCGGTGCATTGTTCCCAAAAAGGGCAGAAAGGAATAGAAATAGCTATGGGTTTTCTCTAGGTGTCGAAGGAAGAAGAAAAATGCATCGGGTAATCTTTAGACATCCGAATGGGAATTCGTTTTCGCCTCTGCAATCAAGAAATCTACCTCTACGAACGAAGGTAAGAATTCAATGCTTATTTGCAGATTCGAAATTATATTTTAGTTGGGGATTTCAAGGTAATAACTTCAAAAATTTATGTTGAAGTGCGATATGGTTGAATTGAGGGTCCTAGAAGTCTCAAGGCTGGTTGAACAACATAATTAGAGAAGATTGAGGTAAAATTTTACTAGTTCTGGAGTTTTGGAATTTAAGAGTGCTTTGGCTGTTTATTGGCATTGGATATATGGCTTATAAATGGATTTCATGGAGAAGATGAATTAAACTGGGGTTTATGTGAATAAAGATTGGATTGGTTATTTTGGGGTTATACATGCACTGTGCGGATGAAATTGAGAAGTGTTGGTTTATGTTGGTGCATGTGAACTGTATATTGATATGTTCTTTTTCAGAATAGGCACTTTCTTGGCTTAAGCAAACCAAGAGATAAGAGTGAACAACTTGTGGAACGAGTTAGTACCTTCTTGGAATATCAGGTAGGGGGGACTCACACCCTGGTTAGTGATTTTCGGTATGTCTTATGTATGTAAATATGGCTACGGGCAAGCTATGCATTGAATTTTGTTGTTGTGTTAGAGCTGCATGTTGGGGAAATGAGTTTGATTTTTTTTTTTCTAGCATGTGAATTATGTCATTCTAAATTGTAATGACAACCTGAGAGTGAAGAGGGTTGTGTGACTACCCTGGGCTTCGATCCCCTAAACCTCCAGAAGGTCCTATACAAACGAACTCGTACCATTAACCGTAAGGGAAGGGTACTTGTATCTATGTGGTATAGGTTGTAAGTGGACACTCTCGCTACCCTACCTTGTGTTGTTACTTGAGAATTTGTTTTAGGTACGATAGTTGGCCGCATGTTCGGTTGTCATAACAAATAGAATGCAGGGATCCCATTATGGTTAATTATAAGCATAAAATAAATTTTAACTCATGCCAAAGCATTTTGTTGTGCAAATTATTTCCTTAATATGTTGTACAAAGGTATATATTTTCAAACCTAGCTAGGGTGCCTCCCAAAGGGGGGCAAATGATTGTATATGATGCTCACCCCTACATTTTCAGGTGTTGTGCAAGAAATAATGGAAGAGTTGGACTAAGGTGTGTGGTTGTAGCTTGTCAACCTAAAAGCTTCCAACCAGAAAAGCAACTTTTGAAATATAAATATTGATTTTCTGGTTTCAGTGAAACATGTCTGTGTTTATCCTCTTTGCTTCTGTATATATATATATGTCTAAACCTATCACTCATTTGGCTTGTAAACTGAACTTTTGGAACTTCTGTTGTAAAAAGGTTGCTTAAGAAATGGTTTGAATGTTTTGGTTTTCACTTAAACTCTGATATTTATTTGATATAAATTTTAGAGGCCTTGCGTATTTTAAAGATACATGAGAATTGTCATGTTCTAAGTTTGAAGCATACAACTCTCATGTATTTTTAAGATTCACGGAGCTGTCGCGTTACCTTTTGGGTCGTGACAAAAGCACTCTGGTGTTTACTAATTGTTGAAGAATAAAAAAAAGGAACTTTAATGCAAAGCATCCGGCACTGTTCACTTTAACGAAAAACCACATTTTTATACTAAAAAGTCAATCCTGGTACTATTCACTTTACCCTTTATTTTGTCCTTATCATTAAAACTTAAAGTTTTCAAACCATTTTCATTAGTTTTCCTTTAAAAAAAAACAATAGGATCCACACAAATTTTGGAATCCAATTTCTTATATAGGAGGAATTGAATCCCTTATATATATATGGTAATCCAATTCCAAGTGCTATAGAGAATTCGGAATGCAAATCTTCAACCAATTATACCCTCACTTTATTTTTAAAATTATAACACCACCCTTCGCATTACCAGAGCAGATCCATCCTTTGCTGCCCAGCGCCCTTGTCCAGTGCCATTCTTTCACTCATTATCCCAACCACCCCAGGCCAACAACCCAACCCAAATCCACTTGCCATTAGACACTGTGAACTTGAAACATATAATCTTGAAATCATAATGCAATGGATTGAGAGAGCGTTACGATGGCGTCGATGAGGAGTGGGTTTCTATGAACAGAAAGATGAGAAATTTTTTTTTTTTTAACGAAAGAGAAAAAGATAAGCTTGGTTAGGGTTTCTTTTATTTTTATTTATTTATTTTCTATCTTTTAATAAAATGCTAATTAGAATATACTAAAAATAATAATAGTATAATTTTTTATTAATTAGTATATAAATAATAATATTTTTTTTATTATATAGTCTGGATAAGGGCATTTTAGTAATCGTATTGGATTATATTCTAATTCTGGTAAATTAGTAAACAACTTATACGAAATCAATGTTATTTTTACTCTAATCCAGAAAACTTTGGTAAACCCGTTGCTGTTGTGGAAACCATACTTGTGGTCAGGGGAAGGCTGAAATGCCTCTGTGAATCTTTCCAGCCCCTGAAATAGGTGGATAACTGTAACTTGCCACCAGTTGTCCCCTTTTTTTCTTTTTCTTTTTTAAAAAGAGAGAACTTTGGTAAACAGCTACAATAGGAACCCAATTCCAACTTCTCATCAATTTAATTCCTCCCATTTTGATTATGGATTAGTAAGCGAGCCTTAAGAAGTTTCTAGTGTACTAAAATATTCCTTTCTCATGTGGTTAATTATTTTCCATTTTTTTAATTTTACAAATCTATATATTCCTCCTTGGCCCATCGTTCATGCAGGGTCTTTTTCCTCTCTGATAGGTCCCAATCCCATTGCTTGCTTCACTGAGTTTTTCTAAAATAATAAATACATTCACTTAGTACTACAATCTAGTGGTATTCCTCTTCACTTGTAGGTGAAGGTCTTTGGTTCGATTCTCGTCAAATGCGAATGTGAGCCATATTATTACTAGTCATTGTGAGGCTTAACCACTCTTACATCCTCTTAGTGTAGATAGTATTGTTTGTTAAAAAAATTATAAATATACATTTTTATTAGCTTCTCACACTGGTTTATTTAGGGTACATTTGGAAATTGATTTTAAATGATTGAAACTTTGTGAGAAAATATTTTTAGGTTGCAGGAAGTACTTCAAATATTTTTTTTTTCAGGAGTAACTTGCATTTTTAATAAAGATTGGTTCCAAAAACATTTTCTCTAAAAATATTTTTAGTCATTAAAAAATACTTCTCAAATCAGCCAGTAATCATGTTCGTCATTTCCGTTTAATTTATTCAATTCTATGACTTAAAATAAATAGAAGCGTCATAAAACAAATTGGGTAAAAATCACTCCTAATTTCTTTTTCTACCAAGCCCAGAAGAAGTCACTGTATGATAAAAAAGTGTTATCATAAGCCTTCTTATATATATTCATATTATTAATGACATCACTAAAGTGGAATAGTTTGATTAATGACGATACATGTCTAACGTTTATATTTAGGTATTAGCACTCTAAAACTTTTAGAGTGCGTTTGTTGCACCAGACTAACTCGGATCGGATTAACTTTAGGGACTAAATTGGACTGGCTTAAACCAGACTAAACTGGATTAACTTAGTGAAGCGTTTGGTATAGTATCGGATTAATAACTAAAATAATACTATTTAATTCTATCTTTTACATTTTTTTTCTTTTTCTTTTTTCTTTTACCTTTCTAGAACATCATTTCTCTCTAGAATGCTCTCCATTTTTTTCTCCTTCCCGTCCAACTGCCTCTCTTTCTCTCTCTTTCTACTTTCTCCCTCATCACCAAACTCCATTCTTTTTCACCACTTTCTCCCTCATCATCAAATTCCATTCTTTTTCATTCATTCTCAAAAAAGCTTATGATTTGCCATATGGGTTTTTTTTATTTTTTTGGATTTTTCACAAGCTTTTGAATTTCATTGGGTTTTGGCAGATTGGTATTATTTGTCCTCTGGGTTTTGGCTGGCATCGTGGAGTTTGCCGACGATGTTCCAACAAATGAAGGTGATGGTTGAGAGCGATATTGGGATGTATCTTTATCCAAACCAGCCATAAACCAAACCATTTGTTTTTCCTTGCTTTGACTTCTGTTCTCTGTGCTAGGTTGCTCCTTGCTTTGTTGTTCCCTTTGTTTTTTCCTTTGCCCCTGTGTGTGAGACAGGGGTTGAATTTTGAGTTGGTGGCGGGATGCATGTGTTATTGGCTTGAAGGTGGGAGATAGGGGTTGAATTTGGTTTGGGTTTATGGGTTTTTTGGTTTTCTGGGTTCAAATTTTGGGAGTTGGATTTGGTTTTGAAAAGGGAAAATTTTAAAAAGTTTTAATTTTTTGTTTCGAGTTTTGCGGGATCTGGGTTTGAAAGGGTTGTAGGAGGCGAGGAATGAGCAAATTGGAGGGGTGAAGCGAAAGCATTGCAAAGTTGGGCTTAGCAGTCCGCCCGATTTTGAGGGGTCTCACTAAGACCCTCTAGCAAAGCTTGTAGTCCGGTTTAGTCAGAGCTAGTCTCATTAAAGTTAGTCCTCGTGTGTAACAAACACAGGATTACACTACCGTTTAGTCTAGTGAAGTCCAATGAAAGTTAAGGAGGGCAAACAAACGCGCCCTTATGAATAATCTTAGCCCATAAACACTGCAAAGAAAAATAGGCTTTCAATCACAACAAATGTCGGGCTAAAAGTACAAAATGATGTGATTAAAACAATTAGTCAAGAAAAAACTACGTTACTAGGTTGTGACTAAAAACCCCATAACTATTGATTTAGTCACAAAAACACCATATTGACTGGCTAAAAACGTATTGGTCACAACACACCTTGTTACTAGAAACTTAAACCAATTCCTAACTTTTAGTCACAACATCCTTTTAGCTACAACCACTGTTCATGACTAAATTTTTTATTAACATTGCCCTTATAAAAAAAAATGTCCAATTAATACTTAGTCACAAAAAATCTTCATGACAAAATTTATTGAGAAAGGATCCTCGCCGGATCCTCCAATCATATCCGTTCATCGTGTATCGTGCGGTCAGTTTTCGTTAAGTACTGTTTATATTCAATTTTAAATAAAAAATTTACAATGATTTCTGACCACACGATCGATGTACGATAAACGGATGTAATTTGAGGATCCGGCGAGGAACCTCACTCAAATTTATTAACAACCACCCTCTATAACAAAGCTCTATTAGTCAGAAGAAAATTATGACTAAAAAGCAAATTTATCAGTCACACCTGTTTTTCATGAGTAATATACATAGGAATATCATAAATGAAAGACAGAGAAATAGTATCAAGCTAATCAAATCTACTGAAAGTTGTTTTTACAAGAGAAGAGAAGACCATCTAAAAAATCCATCAAGCTAAGTTGAAATCAATAAAAATCCACCATGCTAAGCTGGATCGTACATATAGGAACTGATGTATTGTAGTTGTTGCTATATAAATGATTGTTATCTTGCGCAGTAAGGATTTATAATTTACTAGTCTCTTGTCACACGCTTACAAATGTGATAATAGATTTTTTGTATGTTAAATTAATTTATTTTTTTATGGTTTTTTACAAAATAAATTAAGAAATTCATTTTTTATTTATATATGTTTTATTTAAATAAATTGAAAATAAATTTAAAGTTAAACATAAAACCATCCACCAACGTGGGGGTTTTGTTATTTTTTTTTTCTAAGTTTAAAATTTCAAATTTATTCAAAATGTTTTAAATTTTCATTCATTCAAAATTAATATTTGTTAAATTAGTTTAACTCCTTCTAATAATTGTAATTTTAAAATTCATGAGGGGCAAGGTATTTTGAATGTTTCACCAGTGGCCACACAAAAAGTGTGTGTGAAATATTTTGTGAAATTATGTTAGCACCCTTAAGTTTTTTGTTGTAATAGAAGACAAAGAGGAGTTTATTAATATGTAGTTTAGATAGATAGATAGATATATATATATATATATATATATATATATTAGAATTGGGGGAGTGGAAATAAAAACAGAATAGGTGATAGTGGACAAGTGAACAAGAGCCCAATTGTTTTCTTAGTCCTTCTTCTCCAACTCAACAGCTGCATTGTACTCAATTGGCCCAAATTTCCTTTTCTGCATTACCTTCCTCCTCGATGAGTTCTGGACTTTATTTTCAAATTTTTTCTTTAACATTAATCTGAATTGATCGAGAGGCGGAATTTTTACCTTTTTTTTTTTTAATAAATTACTACTTGTGATTAAATTAGTATTCTTTTTAGATTTAGTTACACTGATACGTAACTAAATTACTGATTAGTAACAAATGTTGCTTATCGTGACTAATTAAATGTCAGTAACAGACATTAGTCATAAGAAACAAATTACTGTGACTACGTCTTAAATAGTTACAACATATAGCCCCGA